ACTAGCAAAGAAGAAGAGCACAAGACTTAAAAGGTAAAAGGTCAAGGGTTAAAGTTCTGATATTGACATATTTTGCAACAAACAAATGACATATCATGAAGAAGTGACTTGGCACGAGTTGGTAAGTGACACGCAGCATACGAGGAGGTGACATGCCAGATGACATGGTATAAGCTAACCCATACATGGCAAGTGATATGGCACTAGATGGTAGGCAATGTGGCATTAGCCAGATGCACAAGCGGGGCCTATGTGGCACGAGATATTGTGTGAAGTGAGATTAATTGATGCATATGTGACAGCTGACATGATGCAAGGTGGCAAGTGATGTGGCATCAATTGTAGTATTTCTCAAGATACATTATTATGAGAGACTAACAAATTTCTCTCAAAATTTTATGTGTGAGAAATTGTTTCAAATTTACATTGAAAGAACTTCTTTTAGAATCATTTCACAAGAATGTCTCGCGGTTTCAAAGGTCATGAGAATTTCTTGCAGATAATGATGTGAGAAATGGTTATCGTTTTGTTCATGTGAAATATTTTTTCCTTCAATTGTTTTGGAGACAGGCCTTTTGGAGTGAGAAATGATGTTCTCACAAAATTTCAGGTATTTTCTCACAAAAATATGCTGTGAGAAAATCATTAATTCACTATTTTGGTGTAGCGGGTTTCTTTCCTTCTTGTACCATCATTCTCCCTTTCATTTCCTCTCTCCCAATTTTTTTTTCCTCTCTGTCAAATAATAAATTCTTCTTTCCTCAATATTCACAGATCCAATGCCTGTTTTAGCATTTGTGCCAGAGGCAAACATCGAGTCTTATAAATTATCATAACTATGTATATGTTCTTCTTTGGCCTCATGGTCAAAAAAGTTTCTTGTTTTCTCTTTGATCTCTCTTAATTAATAACTTATAGGGTTTTTCGAGCAGCGTGACTTCAGATTATGTTCCTTTTCAAGTATGGGATTCATTGTAGGTAAACAAATGGTGATGAATCCAGGGGAAATAATTTCGGTTTGCAAGAAAGTCATGTTTAATTGGTTTGTTCTTTTTTTTTTTTTTATTGTGTATCGATTATTGCAGGGCCTTTCAACGTATATATGGACCATGCTTTTCAACCTAGGTGAAGGATTGTTTCACTATGTTTTCGTGGTAATTATTGGTTAGTTACTAATATTTTTTGATCAACCAACCAATAAAATTAACTTCTGTTAATGTTAAAGATTATATTGTATCATTTTTAAAATTTTAAAAAAATATATGTGAAAAATGAGTTGAGGATAGCTTCTAGACGAATATATCACAATATCACTGTACAACATTTTCTATCCTAGATCCATCAATTTGCATGGCAAACATTGTAATGTTAGTATTGAGGATGACATTACAAGACATAATTCAAATGATATTAGAATGTTTTGAAATATTTGATTTTTCACCCGTTGTTTTTAAATATATTTGTGAACAACAACAGAAATTTAAATGCGAAGGCATGTGTGTGCGTTAATTAAAGTTTTTTTTTATTTTTTTTCTCATCAATAAGATGGATATCACTACTGGCCTGATTAACTATTGCTTGCCGCAAGTGTATGGATTGAAACAAGTAATATAATAAAAGTAAAGTATCGTTCCCTCGAGGATTTGTTCAAAAACAATGATCAAATAAAAAATTAAGTAAATTTAATCAAGTTGAGCTCACAAAGTTAGGTGAGAATGATTTTAAAAATTAAATTAACACTAGAAAATAAAATAAATAAATTAATTTACAAATTTCAAGCATAAATTTATTATTCCCCTTGTATCTCATAACATCAAAATCACCTCCTCTCCTAAATGCTTTTAATAAAAATAAGTGTTAATCTAGGTTCTAAAAATACTTGGACAAACTCTCTCAAGTAATGAATACATGTTTAGTTAAATTAATTACCCAGTCTCTTATTATAATTAATAAAACTCAATTTTTAGCTCCAACCCTAATGTGACTATACAAGACTAACAAGTATATCTCTATTCTACTAACAAAACTATTTATTCAACATGCAAATATTAAGTTTTTGCACTATTTTACCCAAGTTCTACACTCAACCCAGCCTTCTCAAGTATCAATCAAGTGAATCCAATATCTAAATAGTGGCCAATCACTTAAAAGCATTAAGAAAAGAGTAAAATAAACACATATATATATCATTAATTATAAAAAGAAAGGAGGAATATAATGTTAATCCATACAAAGGTTCTAAAAAACCCTAGAATAAAGTGTTTAGCTACTTATAATCATCCAAAAAATACAAATATATAAAATATTTGAACCAATATCAAAATACAAGAGAGGAAAGGGAAGAGGAACAAAAAGATCGAAGAACAAGAGCTTCAAATGTCTTCAAAACTTCATTTTCTTAAACTCAACTCTTTCAATGCCCAAACCCTAGTACAATAAAACTCTCAAAGTGTCTTCAAGTACGTAGAATGCATTCTAAGTCGAGCTCTCAGCATATATATGTCCTAGCCGACCAATTTTTTATAAATAAAATGCAGCATTTTTTTGATAGTGGCGAGACTTTCTGACGACTTTGGTATTTTTGAATTGTTTTTGCAGTTAACAAAATTTATCATTTTTGCATTTAATTTTTACATTTAAAAGCCTTCCAAAAACATCAAAAAAGCTCTAAAAATGCATCTAATTAAATCTTAAAACAAAATAAGATGAAATTAGGCTGAAAATATTAAATTAAAGCTAAGAATGCAAGCCTAGAGCAAAATGCATATTTTTCTAATTTGGACAATAAAAATATATATAAATGAGGTAAAATGGGTTAAAATTTAAAGAAAATGTGATAAAATGACGTAAAATTCTAGAGGTTAACATTCACAAACCCAATAAATTTTGTTAAAATTTTTAATAATATTAATTAAACGAGAAAGGCTATTAATCAATCAAAGTAAGTTGGTTTGTTTAACTCATTGATCTAACATGTTTTGATTGTTTTGGTAAAAAAAAAAACACGTCTTGATGGTTCTTAAAAATATGAAATATTTTTTTTGGCCAAGAAATAATGAAATATATTTAGTACCGAATAAAAAAAGTATGATCAATTAATCAAGGATACACACACCTAATAAATTTCAACAAGAGCAAGTGGATAAAACATAGAAATAAATTTAAGAGAAAAAAAAAACTTACAATGTTATTTTATTTTTCCATAAGCATAGCCAATAAAATTGATTCAGTTAGTAAGAATTTGACTTATATATTATAAGATTATGAGTCCAAATTTCACTCCTCATGCAAGAATTTTATTGATGGCCAACCTATAAGCATATTTTTAAACTCTCTGAGCCTAGAGTCATACCTTTGGGCTCAAGTAACCTAAATTTCCTTGATAAAAACAAAAAATTTCCCCACAAGCATATGGATCGAGTGTAAACCCACAAATAAAACAGTGATGTGCGTCATTCGTCCACATTCTAAAATGTTAGTTGAACATTTTAATTTAAATATAATATTTATAAAACCACCATGACTCATGAACCATCAGTTTAATCACAAAATCACTATCGCGAAATTAAAATAACCCCCTAGTTAACTATTAATTAATTAATTAATAGCTACGTAGGACAGGAAGGCTATGCCCAATTCGAATGGATGCAAATTGAAGGGTCCGCAACCGCAAGTAATTTGATAGCTACTCTCCTATCATTTGCACTTTGCTTGTGTTGAACTTAAACCGTTCGTATAATCTTGATCACGGGATCAATATAACACACACATACACACAAATTTGATTATTCCCCACGTCTTAGCAAAAGATGTTCGAAGGTACGCATTTTATGTCTAGATCATGGAATAATAACATCTTTTAGATCTTATTTTTAATTTTTTTTCGTGTGGATGACTTTTAAATTTAATAGAATTATAATGTAAAACAAACATGCTTTTTCAACGAACACTTTAGTGTTTGGATATATGGATTTGAATTTAAATTTTAAATTTAAAATCTCACATTTAAAATCTATATATTTAAGTTCATTTGTTTGTATAGTATAAAAAAATTTAATGATAAAAGAGAGATTTGGTGAGATTCAAATCAGAAATGAAAGATTAAAAGTAATGAGCTTACATCTATTCCTCAATCAGTGAGAATGAATAAAAGATGAGAGAAATGATGAGAATAGCAAATAATGAAAGTGTGAAGAAAACGATAGGAGTAGAGTAGGTGAAATTTTAAATAATTAAAATGTAGAGAAAAATTTTGACATTACAAAAAATTATAATAAAACATGAATTTGAATCTAAATTCCAAGATTTTTATGTAAAAAGATTTAGTCCAAATTAAAATTCAAATGCATCATATAAATTAATTAGGCAGAAAAGCAATAGTATCTTAAATGTATTCTCTTTTTTATAAGATGCAAATCATCTTCCTGTAGCAGTTATAGCTACTTAGCTCTCTTGTTTTGCAATTAAACTCTCCTAATTAGCTTAAACTAAACTATATTACCTGCGAGACAAGCTTGTTGTAACTAGTTGAGATAAAACTTTATTGGCTTGCATGCTTAAGATGAGTTGGTGCTTGGTTTGTATAATGTCGGAATATGAATATGATATTATATTTGTGTGGCAGATCCGACCTAAACACACACCTATTGCTGTTACATCACATGCTATGCATTCATAGAGAACTCAACACGAGCCGCCTCCACTTCTCTTTGCAAGTATTAACCTTTTCCCTTATTAGTGTCAACCTTAATTGGGTCTAATTTTCATTAAGTCTAGGGGTACCCCATGATAAATCAAGTAACGTGAATTTCTTTTTTTTTAAAAAAATTAAAGGTTACCAAAAAAACCATGCAATGAGAAGACAAATCAAGTCATATCATATTCTAATAATTAAGTTTTTGCACTCTGGATAGATCACCCAAAAAAAAATTGATATCCAAAATCTTCGTGTGATATTTGATTATTTACTTAATTATTTGACATCTATAAATTACACATCCATAAAAGACGATAAATCTTATATATGATCCGCTAAACACAGCAGCTTCATCAGGTAACAAACAGAGTGGTAACTACCACCACCACAATAATCAATGAGATTAATTATATATAATGAGATATTATAATATCGAATCGATCGCTAACTTGTTGATTTATCCTCAACGAGCAGCTTGTGACCAATCCAATAAGAAGCATATGCATCAATGCATGCATATTCAACCTGTTCATGGCTCAGATCCCTCACGTGCCACTCACTCATCGTCACCTTCTTGTTCTTCTTCATCTCTAACCCTAGCAGCTCCTTCGCCAGATGCTTCAGCCCTGAACACGAAAACCTTCCCGGCCACTCCCTCTTTGCCACGTCAAGCACGTCCACTCCATTGCCACACTCCAGCCCGTACTCGTCCCTCAGCTTCTTAATGTCGTTCTTCACCTGGACGCCCACGAACGTGAAATTCGAATCCACCAGAAATTTCTTCAGATTCTCCGGCACGTCGTCTAGGTAGAACATTTGCAGGATCAGGCACGTGTTCTCCACGCACAGTTGAAGGACCGCTGCTTTCATCTTCGACGTGGTTTCGTGGGGCATCCACTCCGTGTCCAGTCCGACTACGGTGGGGCGGCCGCCGTATTTGGAGTAGACCTGGCGGAGCCATTCGTCGGCGACGCTGGCTTTGTGGGTGAGCGTGGTTTCGATGGTGGATCCCTGGGAGATGACGTAGTACTTGGAGGTTGATGCGTTGTATATCACGGCGGGTTTCGAGTCGGACATGGCTTTCCTTAATTAACTCGAAATTCAAAGTCTGTTACAGAAAAAGAAGAGTCTGATTGGTTTGGAGAAGAACAGAGAGGATCTGTCAACTGTCAAGACTCAAGAGCCAATTGATTTAATCGAAGAAAAAGAAAAAAAATATCAATGAGGGGGAGAAGAAAAGAGCCACTTGATAGCCCTTGGCTGAGAGAAGGGGGAAAAAGAGAAAATAGTCAATCGGTAATTGATACAGATAAATATTGATTATTTATTGATATAATATTCTGTTTTAAAAAACTTATAAAATGTCAGGTTGCGGTCTTGCGGATACCCTTTCTTCAGATTGTAAAGCCATGAATTGACTTGCACACAGCCACACAGGAATGGAAAGGTATTTTTTTTTATGATTTAATACTTGAAAAATATTATAAGTTGATAATTAATAATTACTAGTAAACAAACTATCATCAACATCACCAATCAATATAGAATCTTATAAATCTAAAAAATGTAAAGAACTACATTGTTCATGCTGTGAACGCTGCGTGATGTTCACTTTAGTTTTTTTTTTAAAAAAAGCTGACAATAATTAGTTCATTATTAAATTATAGCAATGTGGTTAAAAAATTCGTGTGGGTGCGCATGAGAACCCAAAAGAAAAGACTGCCTTTTTTTGCCTTATTTATAAGGCAAAGAAAAAATTTTTTTGGATCTTATTTATAAATTATGTTATTAAATTTTTATCACAAATTTAATTTTTTATTTAGTAAAAAATGTTATTAAAGCATGTATATATTTAATAAAGATAAAGTTAAACTCTTGTTATTTTTTAAAAAATAATTGAATTTTAAAAATTTTTTTAATCTCAATAAAATATGTTAAAAATAATTTATAAATGATATCGAAGAGAAGGAGTATTTTATAAGTACACTTTTGGAAATTAGTTGAAACCAAGTAACAATAATAAGCACAGGAATATAATTTTGAATATACACACACAGAAATATATATAGGATGGAAGGGCGGCACACCGTAATATTTTGGCATTTAAATTAAAAAAAATGATATGAAGAGTGAAACTTAAAATTCTCTCACCTATCAAAGTTTTCTCTATAACTTATTTTCTTTTGAATATATGCGCAAAAAGAATTGATTCCACATATATTATTACTTGAAAAGAATCAGTCACACTATCAAAAATTTTGTTCAAAAAATAATAATTCATAACTAAATGGCGATTATTAAAATTCATTAGTTTAAATTCTTTTCAATGATCAAAATCACTTCGCGTAACAGATAACACATTAAAAAAAGAGATAAATATAATCACAGTTTTATGTGCGTTTAAATATATATATATATATATATATATAAACGAATTGTGATTTGATTGTGATGTGTGCATATTATGACAAATCAGAATCATACAATCTATATTAGTGATTGTTATTATATCATATTCATATCTAAACATCAAATTGCGCTGCTATCACTTCATCTATGCAATCCGAGGCACAATATGTGCGTGAATGAGAGAGAGTCGCATAATTTATAACCTAGATTAGTAAAATTCTAGAGAATCTATTTATATTTGACAAAGAAAAACTTTGCATCCATTACTCCTTAAGTCCTGACCTTTAAAAATATTTTAATTTGCTTCAACAAAGTTATTCGACTAAATTTTAAAACATTTTCATGATTGAAAGTTTTGAGTACTTACATGAACGACCGTGGAAGCAGATCTTCAGGAGAAAAACGATCGTCTTCTTTTGTTTTCTGCGTTTTAGGACCTTGCAGATGCGTTTGTTATATGTGTGTGTGTGTACACAGAGTCTCACCTTTTAAAGAAAATATTATATAAGAAGATTGATGATGAAAATCATGATTCATGCAGTATACATTCAAATAATAGGTTCAAAAGTAAATTTCATTTTAAATCAGTTATAGGATAATAACTAATTGTTTTAATTTTTCAATTAATATTTTTTATAATTGTTAATATACATCCAATATTTTTATAATAATAATCATTTTAACAATTTTGATATCCTAATTTATTGAATTGATGAATTAGGTTGGATGATTCATCGGGTGGGTTTGCATCATGAGGGTTCCAAAATTCAACAAGATTAATTAAGAGTATCAAATCAGATAAAGATTGCAAAATATATAATCGGATGTCCCTGAAGGGACATTACAAAATGTATAAGATTAATTACTACAACAGTATATATTCCCTTGTTTATAAAACTTTGATATTTTACATTTAAATTTTAAAATCTGCCCAACGGCATGGTCCATAAATAAAAGGAGAAAAAAAAAAAACTCTGCCCAGCATCTAGCCTCACATTTTCACAAGTTTTATAGATTACTAATTTCGTTTGATCAATGTGGATAAATTATTCAATAAGTTGAAGAATTAGACAATTCTGTACCTTAAAGGCTATTTTTGTAATGGTTATGATAATAGTGATAGCATAACGTTTCTTTGAATAAGGGATATAAAAGAGTGCCAAAAAATATAAATAGTAGTGCTTATTAAAAAAAGGTATTATTGAAATATATAATTTCATTTGCGTGAAAAAAAATTAAGTGGGTTGGGTTATGAAAGTTTAGGCATGCTAAAATTTAAAATATATATACAAAAATACTCATTGATTGTCTATTAATAAAATCCATACATTGATAGAAGAATTCAAATTCACCTGCTTATATCCGTCCCAAATTATAAGATATTTTTGAAAATATTCAGTGTCTTAAAATATAAGATATTTTGAAAAAAATTAAAATTTTATTAAATAAACTTATTCCAATATTACCCTTTTTCTATTTCTATTTAATTTCCATCCTTCTTTTTTTTAACATAATAAATGAACGATATTTTTAAAATTTTATATTTTTATTTTTAAAAAATAAGATTGTTAAGTATATTCAATTAATTAAATTGATATGTAAGATTTTATTTAAAAGTGTATGATTTGAGAGAGAGAGAGAGGAGGGGTGATTATGATTTTGATTGACATATTTGATAGCCGGGAGTCAAATTAAAACACAAAACATGGCCTTTAAATTTTCATGGTTTTTTGAAATTAAAGCAGTCAATATATGGATGGAAAGATATCTACTTCTTAAGCATGGACTGCATCATCAAAATATGCAATAACAGTGAAGTTTGTATTCTCGATTTAATGCTGCATGAGATGTGCGTGTATATATGTAGTCAATACATGTGCCAACTGCCATATCAAGCACGGAAAGACACGGGACAATGCCCAAAATCCATCACTGACATGACCAAATTCTCTCAGGTTTAGTTTCCGTGCTTATCATGCTCAGCGGGTATGCCGCATCGTTTCATGGGCTTTTTTTCTTCTAAAATCACAAAGTTATTATAAAAATAAAAAAATAAGTATTATAAAATTATTATTATAATATTAAATAACTAAATAAATTTAAATTTTTAAATTTGATCCCATCCATTCAAATATAGAATTTGACTTGAACAATTTAGAACTATACAAAAAGAATTAAAAAACATTACTTGAGCAATTTGGAACAAGGGTTGAATCTAACAGAATGAGCTAATTACTTATAACATGGAAAACAGTGTTCGAATTTCTGTTATAAGAGTTGCCAACATTTAATACACAATCGTGTCTTGAATAAGATATCTTCTTGTGCACCATCAATAAAAATAGAAAACAATATTTTACAAAATATTTTTAATTGTAGTTCTAATTTCATTCATTATAGTTTTGGACTATTCAAGTCAAATTTTATATTTGAACTGTTCATTTTAAATTTTAATAATTTAAATTTATTTACTTATTTAATATAATAATAATAATAATAATAATTTTATAATACTTATTTTTTTAATTATTATTACACCTTTGTGGCTTTAGAAGGAAAAAAAGAAGGGAAAATGACAAAAAAATTCATTTAAATTAGGTAAATGATAGATTGGTCTCATAAAATGGTATAATTCTCCTGGAGCCCCTTGGAATCATTTTGTCAATAGGGAATTAAAAGAAATGACACTTTTATCTAGACATGCATTAGAGTTGGAAATTTGTAAGTCTCCATTCACAACTTTGGTTCTAATATTAACAAGTTTTGTCCCTAAACTCGCAACAATTTATTAGCCATTCGTAAGTCCTGGTGTGCAAGTCCAAACAAGCATCAGAGTTGAAAATTTGCAAGTTTCCATTCACAACTTTGGTTTTCAGGTTAACAACTTTTATCCTTAAATTCACAATAATTTATTAGCTATTCGCAAGTCCTGGTGTGCAAGTCCAGACATACATCTGAGTTGGAAATTCGCAAGTCTCCATTCACAACTTTAGTTCCAATATTAATAAGTTTTGTCCCTAAATTTGCAATTATGCAACAAGGAATTATAATTTATCAGTAACTTCTGAGTAAGCGTCAATACCTATATTTTTCAGCTTTAAGCATAGAGAGAAAATGAAGACCTCAATCATTTACACACAATAACCCACATCAACTTCAACTATTACATATGGGAGGAGAAAATTTCAAGGAAGAGAGAAAATTTTCCCACATACAGCAGTTGCAACAAAAGAAGAATGTTTGCTTATATATACCCACGCATAGCAGCAAAACAAAACAAACAACTCATGTATAGAAATGAAAAAAAAAGAAGCACGAGATCAAGAAGAAGAAGGAGAAGGAGAAGAAGGAAGAGAAGAAGGAGAGAGAGATGGACCAGAAGAATACCACGAATGAAGGTGTGAATGAAGAACTCGAGAACCCGAGACGGACCAGAAAAATTCACAAGTATTTTCAATAAAGATTAAGATTTTTGTTTACTTTGAGGAAAATTTGGTTATTTCATTTGATTCCCTAATGATAAAAAAATTCCAAGGGACCTCAGTAAAATTATACCATTTTGTGAGATCAATCTGTTATTTACCTAGTTTAAATGAATTTTTTTGTCATTTTTTCAAAAAAAAGGCCCATAAAACAACGCAGTATAGCCGCTCAGCATGGTGGTGGTGCTCATCGAAACTGAATCCAATTCTCCCACAGCGAGTAATAACATTTTACACCTCATACCAAAGCACGCTCCATATTCTGATTAACTTGTAAATATATATATATATATATATATATATAAACAAAGTGTACATATCAATTGCCTCATTCACATAAAACAACTAAAAAAATATAAGAAAATTACACAGTATTGTGTCAAAAATAACTATTTGACTGTGTCAGATGTAAATATTGATAGGTTTAATTGGGAGGTAACTCTCCAGAAAAACACTTTCTACATTTCCACAAACTTGAACCCGAAATCATGCTTAATAGTAGGACTAACGCTCGTTTGTACAAAAGGGATGGGAGCAAAATATACCATGCCTTATACTGGTCTATTTTAATTATATATATAGCTCAACTAGACTTTATGGCCTTCTGAAGTCCAACTTGTACAGCTACCCACATGTAGGCCGGATTTCTTCTGGTTCAGCGACTTCTTGCATCATTAAGCGAAGTTATTCAATACATTTTACTATTTCTACACTGATTCGTTGAATCAGCATAGAAGCGCCCTTACTCGAAAGCAAACAACACTTGCAAAAAATGGTTAATTTAAACCCCGTGAACTTGTCATATGTAGCAATCTTTTCTAAGAATTGAATATTAAATATATATATATATATTAATATTTTTTAAACCTTTTTTTTCTTATTAAAAAGAGATTACAACTGATAAGAGCTACCTAAATGATCGCTTTTATCATTTACTGCCTCTTGGATTAGAGGTGGTGGATAATTAAAGAAGTAAAAATTGATTTCTAACTAATGAGACAGTCTAGCCAAGAAGTTTGCATATAAATTGGACTCTCTCTGTATGAGATTAATAGATAAGCTCCAATTCTTATGGTATAAAAGTCTAACATCCTCAATGATATCTTTAAAGGAATGTAACTCATTACATCCCTGGTAACAAGCCAAATAGCTTCCAAACAATCACAATGTATATCAACCATGCATAAACCTTTGTCCTAGCACCACTAGAGCCCCATGTTGATAGCAAGGAATTTCACAATCACAGGCGGCACATTAATCAATTTATTGATGAATCCACTTAGCCAAGAGTTGTTCACATCCCATAAAGCCCCTCCGTAACCACTACTACCATTTGATAGAACTGAACCATCCACCTCAAGCTTTACGGCTCCTTCTCTCCTAACCACTTGAGGTGAAGTTCGCTTAATCTTGTTGGACAGGAATGGAGCACTATTCATAAGATCCTTTTTCAAACTTAATATATATGTAAGTACCTACTGATAAGTGGGGATTTTACTAAAATTGATATATTTTCCCTGCTCTTTTATTTGTTCATTAACGTGTAAATTGATAAAAATTTGGATATAATACCTTATTTAATGATTTTTAGGCATTTTCAGGAAAAAGGACCAAAAATAACATATAAAAAAGCCAAAAAATGTAAAGTACCAACTCAAAAGCTAAGTAAAGAAGAGAAGCTCTCCGCGCACGGATGTAACTTAGCACAAAGAAATCATTGCTTAGAGGTACGTCCGAGCACGAATACGGCATGAAGAAAATATGACTACACTCAAACATCTTAAAGCTCGACGTTCACCCGTGCACGGAGGAGGTCACGAAAATGGCCCTTGTGTAATTTGACCATGCACGAACATGGATGAACACAGCATGATCGCACTTGGACTTGAGAGCATATACATAGCATACACTAATTTAAGATCCATATGTGAGTTAAACTAAATCTTATCAAATCAAACAAGATAGGATGAAAATTAAACGCCAAATTAGAATGGAAAAGTTATTAATAAACCCCTCTCAAAATTCTAAGAGAACTAAAGTGTATATCTAAAATTGAGAAGGCAATTGAAAAGTATAAATCAAGATTTGAGAGGTGCTTTTGACGACTGGGGAGACAATTGAACAATTTTTGAGTAGATATTGTGAAGTTTTCCTATTCTTGCTCTATGCTTTTTAATCTTTATGTTGAATTTGAATTATTTTGCATACTTAGAGTCATAAGTGGCTAGTTTGCTATTATCCTTAGGGATTTTAAAATCCTTTAATGCTTTGTGGGTAGATTTCTTTTTGATTATTATTTTTGATAGATGTTTTAATACTTAATATGATTTGTTTTATTCTCATACTATTGGATGGCCAACTTTAGTATGTATTTAGATCTTGAAACTCATCTTTGACAAAAGGAAATATCAATTACATCACTTATTAAGCAACTAGGATTAGAATTAATATCATTTGCACTTGAGATATACATGTGCTCAAGAGTTTTGGATAATCTTTTAAGGCTTGTATATAATTGAATTATGACTTATTTGAAACATCATAGTATAGTTAAATCACGGGTTTTGTAATTGACTGATACATAATTTAATTTAAAACATTGATCTTAAATCTTAATTAAAACGTGATAATTGTAAGAAATTGAATTGCAAGGTATGAATGGGAATTGGAATTTGTTATATACTCTTTAATTGTTTATCTTACTTTAGATATATTCTTTTATTTTATTTTATTTTATTCTTATTTTTAATTTAATAAAAACTTCACTCTTTCATTGAATAATTTAACCAAAGCAAAAACAACTTCGTTTGTGCCCATGCCTTTTAATTAATTCCTTATAAGACAACATTAATTCATTACATTACGTTAGATTCGTATATTTGCAGTGTGCTTAAGAATTTGTGCGTATCACCTACATCTAGTTCATATAAATATATGTATGATGCAATAAGCATGTTTCAAACAATTAAGTCTTTTTTTTAGGGGTAGAGGAAGAATGACGTTTAAAAACCTTGTAGTCTGTAGATGATAAATTAGTTTATTTTTGAAGATATTAAATTATTGAAATTTTAATAAAAGAAACAGACCATCTTCCTTGGAAACCTCGTCAAGGTGATTCGTATTGTTGAATGCAAAGGAAGCACTCAAACAGGTTATGCGGGCTCACTTTCCAATTTCCACCGCCTTAATCATCATTCATCACCTCTCAATCTCATTATGGGCATTCTATGCCTGTCATTTTCCACGAAACAAAACTTCATTTTGATTGGACATCTTCAAAATTATTTTACTATTTCACGTGCTTTCTCCCATGCCTTTTTTTGTTTAAATAAACGCACCGACAAATTATTTTCTCTAGAGTACGTAAAGGCAAGCAGGCAACTGATACAATACAAGCCAAAACAATTGAAATTTTGTAGTATATTTTAGTGGAGCAAGGGAAGAATAGGGGAGAGGGATTAGGAGAGATGCCAAACCCAATATTAAATCCTCAATTGCATACCTATGCAGCAAAAGTTCTCATCACTCACTTCAAACTTGACGTGGTCTCCTATCCGAGTTTATTCTCTAGATTCATCAATATATATATATATATATATATTATTATAAAATTGAAAGCATTACTGGGTTGTGTTTTTTATATTATTAGTTCTGATTTATGTTAGTTCTGATTTATGTTAAATCATTTAAGTTGGCGCCCCTTACAAATGTAGGAGGATTATTCTAATTATGTTTGTGTGTTACAAAGAACCATCCACATAAAAATAGCTTTTTCTTTTAGAAATGTAATACCGGGTAACGGGTTATTTGAAACGGATCGTGCGTCATATTTGATCCACTCCACCGCTTTGTCGTGGATTTTTCAGTCCCGTTCCGTGCACTGCAATGAGCGCCGGTCCACATATAAGCCATTGCAGGGTCGGAGATTTCCATTCTCGGCGTCACCAACAATGGAAGCACTAGGTCTTCCCGCAGTTGGTCTTTTCAATCGTTGCTCCTGTTTTCACAAGCCCAATGTCATCAAGATGGTACCAAGTACCCCTAATTTTGGCTGCCATTGGGGTCTTTCTTCCATCAAACTTAAACCTTCTTCTACAACTAGAACTTACTATTCGGTATTCCATTCTTCCTTCTATTTTTTAAGTTAGATTGTTGAATCGGAAAACTAAGCTGGATATCAAGTGCTCCGATATTTTCTGTTGCTTTTGGTTTCCTGGGCAACTTATACAGATAGAGAGAAGAGTGAATTCCAGGACGTGACATTTATTTTTCATTTGCAGAAGAGCTTCATTCGAGTACAAGCTGATGGTGAAGACTATGAATTGAAGCAAATGAGGGACATGGCTGCTGCTAGAAAGAGATGGGAAACTCTGGTATTTCACATCACTGCTTTTAGTTGTCAAGGCTAACTTTGAAGCAAGCAGATTTTTAAAGATTCTAAGAGCTATTGAATTTATCGTCATCTGATGATGATTTATTCTTGCAAGTGACTTGAACCATTCATCAATTGGTGGCAATCGCCACTTTCTACTAGGGCCGCTGGCTTAACGCGCATTGTTCGAGATTTTTCAATGACTTAAATTTGATAAGTGATGACCAAGTGTTTGAGGCTATATTAATAGAAGGGCCCTACTTTTATATAATCCATCATCCCCCTCCCTCTTTCCTGATGCTTGTATGATTTCAAGTATTTCAGGTGCTATGCTAGGTCCATGCTCTGTTCATAATTAATTAGCAGAGTGATTCACCTTGATTTAAATATATTAATCCTTTGTTAATGATCTCAATATGCGTAAAATCACACCATGAACTTAATTAGTAAGTGGATCATAGAATTTTGAGCAAGGTGTGCTCATTTTTTGCAGCTTAGGGAAGGAAAAGTTAAAGTTCTTACACCAAGGGAAGCTGGTTATGCGGTTCAGCTTTCCAACAAACCCTTACTCGATGTCCGTCCCTCTAATGAACACAAGAAGGTTGGTTGTTTCTCTTTTAACTTGACCATTTATTTCTTTCACCATAGCCTATTCATATATAGCACACGTCAATTTAAACCTCTACTAGTATAAGTAGAGAGAAAATAAAAGGGCAAAAGGAGCCTAATTTGACATTTTAAACCCGCATTTTTTAACCCTTTTCTTTTTCCAATTCATGGCACGTCATGAATTGTAAAGTCTATTTTCAAGACGTGTATTGGAAATTATATCCCATCATAAGATCCAGAAACAGTGAGAAACAGAATTCCTACAATGTGCATAAAATTAAGATTTAAGAGCTAAGGAAAATACTTAAGCATATATCATAGATAATATTATCAGTACTCCTTTCATTTCAATTCTTTTGTTTTAGGTTTTATACATATATTAAAAAACCATTAATTAATGTAAAGTATTATTCAACATGGACTAGGATACCCTTGTTTAATGCTAGCGTTTAGAGAGATAAAGTGACACAACTGTCAAATACCAAGCATTGGAATTCTAAACCAACAATAGTTTTAAAACAAGATGGTAATAAATATATAAGTAATAAATAGAATTGAAACAAAGGTAGTAATAAATATATAAGTAATTAATTATTGAAATGATCCCTACTCGTAAATAGCATCCCTATTTTCTGTCTTTACAAGAGGCGTAGACAATATTAATTACAATACAACAAAGCTATAGCATCTGTGTTTCAAAAAATTATTGTCAAATCAACTCATCATGTGTGCTTATTGGCTTCTAGAGAAAAAAAAATCATGAAACTAGATTCTTAACGATCAGGTTATATGGATTTGTGGTGGATTGGACTGTGCAACTTGGATGATGGTTGATTTTTTCATACCTTTCTAAATCATAAAATTGTGTTATTCAGAAATATTCCCTTACATTGCACAAATTTATATGCTTCACAGCTGATTCAGGTCCTCTTCCAATCCAAACATTGACTCATATTTTTGTCTTGCAATTTTCTTGTTTTTTGATAGCTATGTCATGAAATGCCAATTCCTGGTGTGAATAACTAATCTGATAGTTTTGTTTATATCTCTGTATCTTGTCACTTTGTGGGAACAAGCTGCAGAGTGTAATGTATGATGTGATCTTTTCTTTATCATGTTCTTTTTGACTGTTTTGAAGGCATGGGTCAAAGGTTCAACCTGGATTCCAATATTCGATGTTGATAGTAACCTGGATGCTGGAACACTTGCAAAAAAAGTTACAAATTTTGTGATGGGTATTAGACAATACTTGTTGGCTTTCTTGTGCCTCCATACTGTTGGAATGCATTCTAGATATATGCTATAGATCTCAACATGTCAGTAAAAATCAATTGAATTCGACTTAATGTTGTGCTTTGCAGGAGGATGGTGGAGTGGCATGCCCACGCTTTCTTATGACAGGTGTGTCCTGAGCTGTCATTATACTTCTAATTCATTTCTATGTATGTTGAATTGTTTATGCATTGCTTTTGTTCTTTAACAGCCAGTTCTTAGCAAAAGTTGACCAGAAGTTCCCAAAGGATGCAGACTTAATTGTTGCATGCCAGAAGGGACTGAGGTGAGCTTTATAAATTTAAGTGGCCAACTGTCTGTTCAATGCAAACTCTCTGGTAATTTATTGTGACTGAGCTACTAATTTGGACTGTACAAATTTTCTGTTTCTTTGCAATGCATTTGGTACTTCCTATGAACTCTTGTCAGTTATTAAACCATTTGAATCGGTCAACTCAGTTATGGTAGATGTAACAATTTTATGATCAAGTCACTTGCGTCAAACAGGCAACACAGTTGCTAAATGGCCTAGGTGCCGTGATGGCACTACATAACCTTACTAAACCTAAGGTTGAGGATTCTACCCTTGCCATGGCATGGGTGTGTGAGTTTGTGCGTGTGCGTGATATTTGTAATTGTTCCTAGTCAAAATAATAAAATAAAATAAAGACAATACAGTTATTGCCTTGTCATGAGCCTCCGTTTTTGGGCAGGTCTTTAGCTGCTTGTGAAATACTGTACAATGCGGGCTACACAAATCTATTTTGGGTTCAAGGAGGTCTTGAGGCTGCTGAAGAAGAGGCATGTTTTGCAAGTTTAGTTTTATAGAATTTGTCTTTCGATCTGCTATAACGAGATGTGAAATACAGGGCTTATTTGGTGAGGTTTCTGTTTTTCGTTTTCTGTGGAGCAGGATCTTATTGTAGAGGGCCCTTTGCCTCTTAAATTTGCTGGAATTGGTGGCGTTTCAGAGTTCCTTGGGTCCGTAACTATCTAATCTTATATTTGCCTTTGTCTTCTGATAAATGTATTATAAAATAGTTGATTAAGTTTATTCATCCATGTCTTTCTTGAGATTTTACTTTTAGATGAAACATATGTTCTAAACTTTTCAAATACAGACTATTAAAATTAACAAATTTTTATTATAAATTTTTGCTAGATCAGAAATTCAGAACATTGAATATCTTGTAGAGTGGTTGCTTGAGCAATTTGTGCTGAAAACATTTGTTCAAAATTATTGTTTAAAAACATCCTGTGTTTTTTTCATATCAATGGCAATATAATACTTGTAACTTTCATCTCAACAAGCTTTAAGGTGATTCCCTAATCTGGTCAGATATACCATTTTCAGAATTTTTTTTATTTTGCTTCACGTGCATTTAGTATTGACAATTGCACTGTTTTATTGCATTTTGACATGGTATGAAAATCACCTATTAATTGAGATGATATAGGAATCTTTTATTATATATTACTATATTCTCAAGAAGGATGATAGATGATCCCGTCAATGGCCATGCTTAGTAGTTTGATCCGAGATGATGATGCGAGAGTGTATAGCAAAATCTCGTGGACATGCATGATTCTTCTTTTTTATATTGGTTGAAGGTTTAGCTCTCAAAAGGAGATTCTATAATCTTGACAGTTAGAGCATTGTTTCAAAATGTTTTTGTTCCTGTTTTATCTGGAAATTGAAATTTTGACTTCAAATAATATTTCTAGTTGGACTGAGCAACAGAGAGCTGCTGCAGCCAAGGAAGGTTGGGGTTACAGATTAGTCTTTTCTGCACGCTTGGTAATTTATCCATTTATTTTCTGTTTTTGGGATTATTACTTAACGAATTAACTTTTTGTGTCTGTTGTTATTCATGTAAGTTTTTGGTTGGATCTCCTATGTCCTCGAAATCTGAACATTCACAAGTTTGATCGCTTCTGGCCCAGGTTGGACTCATTCTTCTTGCTGATGCCTTATTTATTGGTGCTCAGCAAGCTGCTCGCTATCTTCAAGATATTAGAAGCCATTGAGATTAAATGGCTGCTTTGAGCATGTTGATTGACCCTTCCAGGAGAAAATCTCTTGGTTATGGATGACCATGTAGAGACAAAAGGCTGAAGAACTCAATTTTGAATGCTTAACTTGGCAAAAGCCTTAACGGTCAAATAAGATTCACAAGTAGGTGTTTTGTAAGAATAGTCAGGCTGTGATTTCGTCTTCGTCTTCGTTTTTGTTTCTTTTTTCTTTTTAAATCAGCTGTGAGATCTTCCCTTTTTAGTTCCAAGTCACTTTTGGATTGTAATTGTAATCTGTCTGTTTTCAGGTTTAGGATTTTAGGTTGGCCACTTGCTTGTATATTCCTGTCAGAAAATTTTTGAATAAATCTTCATTGCACAATATTAAATAGTGAGGTCATTTCATTATTACTGGCTCTGGCCGTAGTCTTGTGGCAGCTACTTTCACATTTGATTTTATTGAAATCCCGTGCCTTCCAGCCCCTCCTCGATGTTCTTTTAAGGTTAAATCTATTATTATTATTTTTCCTTAAAAATGTTTTTCACCTTCCCAAATTAACAAACAATGATTAAGAAGTTATTCTTAATAAATAATAATGATGGATATATATATCTCGTCTATTGAGCAAGAAAAGTTTTTTTTTTTTTTTTTTTGCTGCCTTAGCCGAACGCCGTCACAGCATTACGAAATTTGACTTGTTCAAAATCGAAATGTCTACATTCTTCAATCGATATATTACAAAGGCGACTGATTTGCCCCTTATCCGTTTATGAAAAAGACTTACACTGCAAGGTACGAGTGTTGTTGTAAGAATCTCTACATTCCGGCCTCACAAAATATCTTGTTCTAGTATCTACTTGTGGGAACCACTAGGACAGAAGATAGCAGAGCTCAATCTTCATGGAAAGTGTCGTTTAGCAACGACATAGAGATGATCCCTCCTGTGCATTGAGATGCCAAAAACTTCAGTGAGGTCCAAATCTTTGGCTGAAATTCCAGGAGGAAGCTCCCAATCAAAACTATGAAGCAGCTGAGCCAGAGCAAGCTCAATGATTGCAGTGGCAAATGTAATAGCAGGGCAGCCTCTTCTACCAGCCCCAAATGGTATTAGCTCAAAATCTTGCCCTTTGAAGTCAATATCACTCCCTAAAAATTTCTCCGGTTTGAATCTTTCAGGATCTTCCCAACTTTCTTTATCTCTTCCTATGGCCCACGCATTGACATAAACTCTTGTTCTGGCAGGAATTTTGTACCCATCTATGACAACATCTTCTATGGATTCTCTTGGCACTAGTACTGGAACAGGAGAATGGAATCTAAATATCTCTTTGATGATCGCTTTCATGTAATGCAGGTGAGGCAAATCGCTCTCCAACACTATCCTTCTTTCTCCCAGAACTCCTCTCACCTCATTTTGAGCTTTTTCCATAGCCCATGGGTTCATCACCAGCTCTGTCATTGCCCAGTCAAGGGTTATGAAGGTTGTATCAGTTCCTGCAGCAAACATATCCTGCAGTAACAGACATGATTAGAAAGAAAGGACAAAACTTTTTAAGCATAGTTCATTAGAAAACTTGATGGTAAGCTTCATTTACCAGGATGATTGCTTTGATATTATCAGTAGTTAGAGGCATCTCATCTGAGTCATTCCTCTGTACCTCCAGTAGAACATCCACAAGGTCTTTATCATGGTCCTCTATTTCGTTGGAACTGGAATGTTCTTTGAGGATCTGATCAAACAGTTGGTCAAATCTTCGGAAAGTGTCCTTGAGTCTTGACTTCATCCCTGTCAAGCTGTGCATGAACTCCAATGAAGGAAAGAACTCACCAATACTGAATCCTCCGAGCAGAACCTGGTACTCCTCAAGCATCTTCTGAAACCCATGGCGATGATAATCTCCACCTTTTGAGAAGTCCCTTCCAAACACAGTCCTGCAAAGGACATCATTTGCATACAACCCCAGCAACTTAGTCAGATCCAAAGTACCAGGAGAAGACTCTGCAATCCGAGAAACCAGACGAGCAACTTCTTCTTCCCTGACAGAACGGTATGTCTCTACTCTCTTAGCACTCAGAAGCTCGAGTATGCAAATTTTTCTGATATTTCTCCAGTATGGACCATAGGGGGAGAAGACAATATTGGTGCAATTATAGAACAGATGTTTTGCTGCAAATAGTTGTGGTCGGCTTGCTAGGGCAAGATCATGGGTTTTCATCACTTCCTTGGCAAGTCTGGCTGAAGAAACAACAACAGTTGGGATCTCACCGAGTTGAAGGTAGATTAAGGGTCCATGTTTTGCAGCAAGGCGTTGCAGAGATAGATGAGGCATGGTGCCGAGTTGGTGGAGGTTGCCGATGATGGGTATGGCAGGTGGACCAGGAGGAAGATGTGATCTCTGTTTTCTGGACTTGTGTTGCATCAGAAGAAGCTTTATCAGTACAAGAAGGAAGATGAACGCAACGAGCGAGAGAGGTTGACAGCCTCCCCTCAGCCATGGAGAAACAGCCATTTGATGATGGAGCTTTACAACATGGATGATATTGAACTGCAAATTTTGACACACGCAGGCTGTGGGTTATTAAATATCTCTCGAGGTCTCAGGAAGAATAGTAAAAAGATAGCAGAAATGGGAGAAAATTGCTATCTATGAACTTAAAATTGTATAATTCACAAATGGAAAGCTATATAATACTCTTGAAATTTGATGTTCTCGAAAATTGTGTCAATTATTAGATGATTTTCCATTAAATTACCATATTACCATGTTTCGACATTTGAAAAATGGGCAAGCAAGTTGAAATGATTTGTTGGAAGCAAGCAAGCAGGATTAGAGGGCATGAAAGAAAGTTGAGGTGACGCCAAAAGAGGTGGCCTGGTCCGATTGTCTTATACCGAGGAGAACGCATGAGGTGGCCGATATTCTCTCAAGATGGGTCCCAATTGGAAGAGGAGGAAAGTATCTTTTGGGGAATTGGCACTTAGGGATCAGATTCAGATACACAGAGTGATGCAAATCTTCTCGTGATGGAAGCAGAAAAATACAATGATAAACCAATGAATATTCATGATCCAGTTGGTCTGTGAATTACAAATTTGAAGCAACACGTGAACTCCTTGTACAACCAAAGAAACAGTGCCGGTCCTCTACCATCACAATGGTTGAATTTGTGGTGTCCCAAGTGAGACCTTGTTAGCTGATTACATCACTTGAAAATGTGCTCAGTGATATGTATCGTCCTTGAAAAAATTATGGATTTAAATCCTCTAAAATTCAAATTTAAATTTTGTGAAGTTTTTTTCCTATAAATATTTTTTATTTTATTATTTTTTATAAATAATAAAATTTTCTGTTTCCTTCTTAAAAATATGAATTTCACATAAATTTACCATTCACAACTTTGGAGATTAAACCCTAAAATCATGATTACGCTATTTTGCCAGAAAAAATGGACACACGGGGACGCTACGTAGTGTGATCCTTTTCTCGATTTTTGTCTAGTGAAAAAGATTGAGAGACTTGCCTTATAAATCTTGTGTAAGCAAAATTTCATATTAATGTCAATATATATAATAATATATAATAAAATTATACATATAGTTGTGTTACTCATAGATAATTAATACTTTAATTAATTCTTTAGTTCTTTCCACTCTAAAACTAGCATGAACCCCGTGCAATTCATGGCAATCAAGAATCAAGAATTAAATATATAGAATTAAAATTGAAGTTTTAATTTAAACAATTGTTATATTTCATAGTGACATACTTCACTTTTATTTATTAAATTTAAAAATAATATACGTGAGATATGGAATGAAGCATTCCTCCATTTTTTCCCTCTTTCCCTTTCTCCACTAAATTATTTAATCATTCTTCCCCTAACTTCATCCATATTCAAAGCCCAAGTTATTAGTCTTTGTGAAGTGGAATCAACACGCATGAATGAATCTATGAAAAGGTTGTACTATTAATTGAGTAGGTGGTGTGTATCTCAATTGCGGTCATGATTGTCATGATGAAAATATAATAGGGAGAGTTTTAGCACAGGATCAGCAATATGACATAATAATAAATAAGAGCTATTAAAATATAAAATTTCAGTTTAGTCAAGAAGACTAAAATGAAATTAATTTAAATGATGAAATAATTAAAATAGCCCCTGTTTAAACATTAAAAAATAAAAATAAGATTTATATGTAGTGTTGGGGAATTAATAATTAAAATTGAGAAATTAACATGTAATAATGCCTAATTTATTACAATGACTTAACTATAAAATCACTGATTATCATTGTAAGTAGGAATTATATCCTAGTTACCTTACAATGGTAAAAAAAAAAAAAACAAATTTAGTTAAGTAAAACTATCCACATTAGAAAAGAAAAGACTCGATTTCTAGGTTTACTATGGTTATTTGGAATAAATATAAAATCTATAATAAAACAATGCAAATACACAGGTTATTGGAATCCCAAGATGTCAACTCAAACCAATACATAACAAATACCTGAACAAACATAAATCAAGGTTGCAAGTTTTTGGAAGCATGAGATACTAATTTATTCAAAAACTTAGTTTAAAAGAGGGATTAAAAATGACATATTTCAATCATAGGACTGTTTAGTACTGCTTATGGATATCATACCATGCTATGACTTCCTCTATGTTGTGTTTCGCGGTGCAAGCACCTTATGCAACAGCACATTACACAAGCACCAAGACAATGTGGTGTTGTCACCTAAACAGCTTCTAACAGTGAATATCCATCACATCCCGAAGTAACATTCGTCATCCAAAAGAGAGGATTTAGGCAACTCTTAAAAAGTAAAACAGCAAATCAGATGTTAACATTGGTTTCACCTTTTTAAAATGTAATAATTCACAATATTGGACATTCAGTCACACACAATTATACCATTTTCACATTTAAACCACCAACATATCAATACCAACCAAGTTCCAATAACACAAACCACAACCTAAAACAAGCTTAAAGGACTTAGAACAACTTGTAACAATACATCACAGCAATATATCCAACACAATTTACATTTCCAAATTCTCAACCCCTTAATCATCAAAAGTAAAGGGGGAGATATCCAATATAGTAATTCCTAGCACAAATAATTATGGTTCACAAAACAATTAATAGCATACTTGTACCAGGCCCTTAATGACAATCATAGTTCATACAACAAGCTTAGGATACTAAATACAACTAGTCAGATAACAATAATATGTAGTGATGCAAGTAATACAAAATGAATATCTTAAGTTAGCAATGAAATCATCATCATTATATTACACATAAAGAAATAAATAGAGAATGAGTCTATAAAGTAGGAATTTATAATTCCTAAGTCTCATATCTCTTTTCCTTACTAGAGATAGTGCTTGCAAATAGTTAAATAGGGGTGAATACAATTATTCAGTAAGTAAGAAAAGCTCTAAATCATGCACATACAAGTCAAATTAATAAAGGCATGCAAGGTAGACAATTAATATCAAAGCATAAAGTACCATCGAATGCATGAACATCAACTCGTTATATCCTCCATATACTACCAACTGAATCTGTAGGCTAACAATTAAATAGGACTGAGTCAGTATGATTAAACCAGCTCAAGCTCTCCAATCATGAGGAGACACCTGATTAAAGATGCCTCATTTAATCTCAAACTACAAGTTCTCCCAATTCTCAAATCTATTGAGGTGTCGAATGCCGAACACCATACTCAATCCAAGGTAATATAAAAGGGTAACAAATCTTGACACCTACGCTTACACCCAGTCTAGGGTGAAATTCAACAAGACCTAACTAGTGAAACCAAACACCAAAACCACCCATGGTATTGGTTATATAGTTTCACATGGGAAATAATCTACTCCTCTTAAGGCATCCTCTTGCTCAACTTATGATCATGCAACCATGTACCAGATAATCACCAGACATTTCTACAACTCATAGCATAATGCAATAATCCAAACATACATATAACAATATACTTAACCATCACAAACATGTAAATAATAATTCACCATTTATAGTAAAAATTAGTCAACAATATATGGTATTTTTAGCATCATAAGCTACGAAGATAAATCATGCAATCTTAGCATATATTTTTCTAAAATAATATACAAGTTTATAATTTTATAAAATCGCATTAATCATGTTTGCAAAGTAACTAAACCAATCTAATAGGCAATAGTATAAGTTAGAGATCCCCTGGTTACCTCAAACCTTTAAGCAAATCAAAGGTTATCCCAATATAACTTGCTTCTCGAGTAAAATCAAGCTTAAACAACACACCACAAGATTAATCTACAATCCATAACAATAAATATCACTAAATAATCAACAAACATAACACTTCCAACTCGTAATTATCCACTTTAAAATGGTAATAATTCTAACCACAAGTGTAACTTCAATTTTAAAGAGCTCATTAGCTTTCACTTACTTCATTTAGCTCTGAACAAATAAATAACAATAATTATAACAACCTATAGCTCAAATTCTCCATAAAAAACCTAAGGGTTTGCCTAAAATGGAATAATTCAAATTTTAAACTCAACCTAATCAAAATCAATGTTCCAGGAGAAGATCCAACCTATAACAACCTTATTTAACTCCAATAATTTATCCAACAACAACCAAAGTTCAAAAATTTTTATAGGGTTTGAATTTGAGGAAGAACATGAAAACCTTATTTTAAAATCTAGCTGATCAATGGTACCAATATTACCCACTTCTTCGCTTTATAAGAGAAGTTGTGGGATTGAACCCAAGCGGGGTGTGCAATATGCTATGTCCCTTAGAATTTTGATCATGGGGGATGCTTTAGGATGGCTGTACTACCAGCGTACCCTATCCTGAGTAAACTAGGCTCGAGAGGGTCCCATTCTCCGCCCCTCCAAGGACCTCTAAGGGATAAACTTTGAGAAGAGAGAGGGGCGAACACAACATAAAGGGACCAATGGTAACTACAAAGAGACAAATGTAATTAGTACATGAAAACAAAAAAAATATTACCAAACTAAATATATGTATAAATGAATATAAAAAACTTGCCCTTCAAGAATTAGGGCTGATAACATGGTAATTTTATTTCTGAAATAGTATTGCCCACATTTCTCATCTTATCATTGATATTGTGAGCTGGTGTTGAAGAAGCTAGACATAAAAATTTAAATTGATCTTTTTGAAATCCAGTGCAGATATTACTAAGAAACTTATTAATAGAAGGATATAAAAATTATTACATATAATTAAAAATAAGATAGAATATAGATAATAAAATTACAAGATAGATAACATAGCCATAAGATATCCAGCTCCTTTATCAACAAGAATTCTAAAATATCTTTCTTGTCCATTAGAAAAAGATATGACTTGTTTATATCTATAATTCCTTTAGGCATTATCAAGTTCATAGGCTTTGTCATTGCTTTGAAAAATTCATATACTTATGGCAGACAAGGGTAGTCCTCAGCATCATTAAAATCCTAATGAAATATTAAGTGAATAAAAGTTATATAAATAATTAAACCAATAAATCAAAGAATAATGGAGAGTTTTTCTACCATCAGAATTATCATCTCCATGTTAACAAATCTTTTAGCCTATAAAATGAATTGTCTTAGTGCTTTACCTAATTTTCCAACCTCATCTGTAGGGAATGGCGTATTTATGTTCAGCTTAAGAACAACCTCAACCGTCACCTTGACTTGATCGTCCAAAATATTCATATTATGGATTGTTTGTATAAGCATATATACCTGTGTTGAACTAAAAATCTGCTTCTAAGGTTTATCCAAATAAAGAAAATAAGGTTGTTCCTCCTCTATTAAG